GGGAGCAGCAACAGGCAGAAGGAGGCTGCCGCGGTCCGCGCGCTCCGCGCTGGGGCCACGCCCAGAAGTTATATTTTAACTTCCTGGTTGGTTTTTCTTTGCACGGAAGCATGAGCCATAGTGAAAGGGATCAGCCATTTGAAAAGAAGCCTGTGTGCCACCAGGATGCCTATGGAGTGGATTTCAGTTCTGCTGCTGCTACAGCTGAGTGGTCAGTTCAGCCCTGGGAGTTGTGGAAAGGTGCTGGTGTGGCCCACAGAATACAGCCACTGGATCAACATGAAGACCATCCTGGATGCACTTGTCCAGAGAGGTCATGAAGTGACTGTTCTGACATCTTCAGCTTCAATTCTTGTTGACCCCAATAAACCATCTGCTATTCAATTTGAGGTTTTTCCTACATCTGTAACAAAAGATGATTTTGAGGATCTTTTCAATCGGCTGACCTCTAAGTTGACATATACGCCAAAATATACATTTTGGACTTATTATTCACAAATTCAAGATAACATTTGGGAATATTTTGATTATATTCAAAAGCTCTGTAAAGAGGCTGTTTTGAACAAGAAACTTATGAGAAAACTACAGGAATCAAGGTTTGATGTCGTTCTTGCAGATCCCTCTGGACCCTGTGGTGAGCTGCTGGCTGAGCTACTTAAAATACCTTTTGTGTACAGTCTCCGCTTCTCTTTTGGCTATACAATTGAAAAGTACAGTGGAGGACTTCCATTCCCTCCATCCTACGTACCTATCATTCTCACAAATATTATGGAAATGTTTAAATTATAAGGTCATTGAGGAATTGTTTCCTCTTGTGTAGTTCAGTTTGATTTAAAAATTGAACTATTTTGCCATATTACCTGAAGGATTCTTTCATACTGGAGTGCTCTGTCCTAGACTCAGGAACCTATAATTTGAGATTTCTAATGACTTCACATTCCTTTATTAAGCACTTACAACTCATCTGCTTAAACACTAAACTTTTGTTGATGGGTGGACATGTAAGTCAGTAAACTACATTTTGTGAAAACTCTCCCTTCATTAGAAACAAAATGATTCAAAATTAAGAGTGAGCATATCTATTACCATACATTATGAAAACATTCCAGCTGTTATTTGTAAATGTTTTTATTAATGCACAAGTATTACTAGGCTCCTAAATTGAACCAAATGTAATTATAGTACAGGAAATGAGCCATACTCTCAAAACCTCCATTTTTGGGAAATCTAGGATAAAGTTAATAGCTTGCTAAATTGCAGAAACTAGACTAATAATCTAGGAAAAAGTGTTTCCATGAATATGGTATATTTAATTGATTAAAGAATTAAAATCATTGTTTACATTTGCATCTATTACTTCTGCCATTTTACAGAGTAGCAAATGCATGTTTAATTCTGTAGTGGCTTAGGTTTAACCATTTTCTATGATTGTGAATGTCCTGATGTGAGGTTAGAGAAGAAAAACTGTTAAATTTTATATGTATTGTTAATATATATAAACATCATAATATAACAAATGTATATTATATAAATCCTAGAGGCCTGGTACACGAATTTGTGCATGGGTGGGGTCCCTCAGTCTGGCCAGAGATTGGGCCTGATCTGGGCTGGCTGGCGGGGGGAGGGACCATGGGAGGTTGGCTGTGGAAGCAGAATGACAACCCGGCCAGCTGAGGGAATGGACCATAACTGGTTGGCCAATAATGGGAGGTTGGCTGTGGGAGTGTGCTGACCACCAGGCGGCAGCTTCTGTGTTGAGCATTTGCCCCTGGTGGTCAGTGTGCATCATACCAACCGATCAACTGTTTTGTCAGTCACCAACGGGTCCTAATGGTCACTTAGACTTTCATATATTTACTAGAGGCCCAGTGCAAAAATTTGTGCACTGCCCCACTTGTGCCCTCTCACAGTCTGGGACCCCTTGGGAGATAACGACCTGATGGCTTAGGCCTGCTCCCGGGTGGCAGAGGGCAGGCCCAATCCCTAGGTGCAGCCCCTGGTCGGGATCAGAGATGGGCTAGTTGGGGAGTTGGGCTGCCGCCCCCTTTCATGCACAGAGCAGGGCAGATCGGGAGGTTGCGATGCCACACACAGTCATGCTCAGGGTAGGGCTGATTGGGGGGTTGGGGCACCGCCCCTGTCACACTCAAGGCAGGGTCGATGGGGAGGTTGTGGCACCTCCCCCGGGCACGCACAGAGCAGGGCCGATCAGGGGGTTGGGGTGCTGCCCCCTGTCACGCACAGAGCAGGGCCCATCAGGGGAGTTGGGGCACCGCCCCATGTCACCCACAGAGCAGGGCCGATCAGGGGGTTGGGGCACTCCCTCATCAACTCAGGGCAGGGCCGATGGGGAGGTTGCAGCTTCACCCTGTCACACACAGAGCAAGGTCCATGAGGGGGTTGGGGCTCCACCCCGTCAAAACAGGACAGGGCCCATGGCGGGGCGTTGGGTCGCTGCACCCTGTCACACACAGAGCAGGGCCGATCAGGGGGTTGGGGAGCTCCCCTCTATCAGGCACAGAGCAGGGCCGATTAGGGGGTTGGGGTGCCTTCTCCTGTCACGAACAGAGCAGAGTGGATAGGGAGGTTGTGGCCCTGCCCCCTGTCACACACAGAGCCGCAGGATGATCAGGGGGTTTGGGCACTGCCCCCTGTCACACTGCTCCAGAGGCCAGGAGGTCTCGTGGCTCTGTTGATCCTGGTGCTGGGAGGCCTTGCGGCTTCGCTTATCCCGGTGCTGGGAGGCTTCGCGGCACCACTGATCCCCGTGCCAGGAGGCCTTGAGGCCCCGCTGATCCCAGTGCTGGGAGGCATATTACCCTTTTACTATATAGTATAGAAGCCTGGTGCACGTGTGGGGGCTGGATGGTTTGCCCTGAAGGGTGTCCTGGATCAGAGTGGGGGTCCCGCTTGGGTGCCTGGTCAGCCTGGATGAGGGGATGATGGCTGTTTGCAGCTAGTCACACACCCTTCAGGGTGGGGGTCCCCATTGGGGTGCCTGGCCAGTCTGGGTGAGGGGGGAGGGCTGTTTTCAGGCTGGCGAGTGACTGAACCTCCC